AAAGTTCCCCAAGACATCCATCTTGCTGAGCGTTTTTGTTGTGAATGGTGTTGGATTTTTGTTGATTTTTTTCTGCACCTATTGATACAGTCATGTGATTTTTCTCCCTCAGTCAGTATTTGCAATGAAGTAAATTAATTCATTTTCAAACGCTGAACCAGGCTTACATACTTGGAATAAATTACCATTGGTCATGGTATATTCTACTTTATGCATTGTTAGATTCAATTTCCTAATATTGTGTGAGGGTTTTTTATACCTATGCTGTTTATTCACTTTTTTGAGACAGGGTCTGTCTATGTAATCCAGGCTGATCTGGAGTTAGCCCAGGCTGTCTTTAAACTCATGATCTTTTGCTTCAGCCTCCCCGGTGCTGGGATTACAGGCACTTGCCCCTGTACCTAGCCTTTTTTTTAAGGGTGGTGATGCTGGGAATCAAATCCAGAACCTCTGCATGCTACCACTAAGCTACACCTTCAGCCTGGATTTTCACACCTTTATTTCTGAGAGATAATGGTCTGTAGTCCTCTGTTATTTCAACGCCTTTGATTTTGGTATTAGGACAATGCTGCCTACATAGTGAGTTAGGAAGTCTGTTTTTATCTTGTGGAAGAAATCATAAAGAATTGGTACAATTTCTTCCTTAAACACTTGGTAGAATTCATCATTGAACCCATCTGGGTGTGGTACTTTCTATTTTGGAAAGTTATTCATTATTAATTCAATTTCTCTAATTGAGTATTAAAATTTTCTAGTTCTTCTTATATCTTAGCAGATTGTGTCTTTCAAGAAATTGGTCCATTTCATTTCATTTATCAGATTCCTTTTATTACTCTTTCAGTGCCCATGGGATATATAGGGACGCTTCTCATTCATTTCTAAGATCAGTAATTTATATCTTCTCTCTTTTTTCTTAGACTGACTAGAGCCTTACCGGTCTCATTAATTGTTTCAAAGAAGCAGCTTTTTGCTTCACTAGTTTGCTCTATTAATAGCCTGGTTTTCATTTCAATGATTTCTGCTCTAATTTTGTATTATTTCTTTTCTTCTGCTTATTTTGAATTTAATTTACTTTTCTTTTCTCTAGTTTTCTAAGATGAAGTTTACCCTGGCAGTGTTGCTATTATAATTTTGAACAAGTGTTGTTGGATAAAGTTAGAAAAACTAAAAACTTTTACTTTGCCTTCACTTATTCCCTCTTCAATGTTTTCTTTCTATATCCCAGTCTCTGACCCATATCATTTTCCTTCTCTGTGAAGAACTTCTTTTAGCATTTTCTGAGGGCAGGACTACTGGCAACAAATTCTCCAGTTTTTGTCTACAAAACTCTATTTCTCCTTCACTTTTGAAGGATAAGTTAGGAAGATACCGAATTCAAGATTTGTGGGGTTTTTTTTTTCTCTCAGCACTAAAGATTTTCTGACAATTTCTTCTTGCTCATATGGTTTCTGTGAAGAAGTTGTATGTAATTCTTACCTTGACTCCCTATTGATAACCTGGTTTATTTCTTCTGGCTCTTTTTGAGATTTTTTTTTCTCTTTGATTTTTGGCAGTTTGAAAATATGTGTTGATATACATTTTTGAATACGTGAATGTTTTAAAATTTATCCTTCTTGGTGTTCTTTGAGCTTACTTAACCTGTGATTTGGGGTCTGACATTAATTTTAAGAGATTCTCAGTTATTATTGCCTCCAGTATTTCTTCCATGCTTTTCTCTGTTTCTTTTTCATCTAGCTTTCTCATTGCATGTGCGTTATAACTTTTCTTACTGCATATTCTCACAACAGATCTTGCACATTGTTCATTTTTTCCAGTCTTTTTCTTTTCAGCTTTCTAAATGTCTTTCTTTTTCTTTTCTCTGTCATCATATCCTCAATCTCAGAGAATCCAAGTCAAAGAATTCTCAGCCATGTTCAGTGCTTCTGGGCCTCTCTGTGACATTCTTCATATCCATTACAGGGATCTCCAGCATTCACTTTGTATTCTTTCTTTATTTTCCTTACCCCAAGTAGATTGGCTCTGATATTTAAAAAATAACACACACACAACAACAACAACAAACACCTCAGCATGTTAAACTATAGTTAAATAGTTTATCTAGTGGGCGGACGTTAAGTAAAATGGCTCATTTTTCACTCCCCCTGCTGGAAGCATGAGGGGATTTTTCTCTGACCTCTATGAAGACATGGTAGAGCCCCTAGAGGTAAAACACACAAAGTGTGGATGCTCCCCTAAGTCTGCATCTCCTGGACTTTCAACCATTAAAATTATCAATACTGAACCATCAGCAATTTTTCAACTCTTGGTTCCTGTGGAAATTCTTCTTGTGGCTTATACTCACAAGGTTGCAAGTTGAGAGTCTCTATCTCTCACCAAATCTGAGGGTAGTAGTTAGTTCTGTGACCTCAATTCTCTGACGTACAAGAAAGAGTTACTTTTCATTTATTCAGTTTTGAATAAGTTCCCATGGGTGTCTACAGTGGGCATGGGTCTTCCTGCTAAATGGGTCACTAGGCAGAGATTTGGGAGCTGGGGGGAGACTTCGGAAATTAGTGACCTCTCTCCTTAGCATTGCCCTCCAACTTCACTGCCACTATTTCTTACTTTGGCTTGTAGTTTGGCTTTGTGGTCTGCTTGCACCCATGTACTTTAAGGTGCTGTGTGCTGGCTGGTGGCCTCTTTGAGCTGTGTGGCTTCCTGCTGTTGCACAAACTTGCACTCTTAGAGCTGTGTTGCTTTTGCTTGCATTTGCTGAGCTCTACTGATCCTCTGTTATAGATTTCAATGCTGTAAGTCAGAATTTGCAGCAATTGGCATTTAGGGATAAGAGTGTGGGATTGAGCCTCTCCTTAAAGTGGTCCTGAGTACTATGTCTCAGGCCAGATCTGAAGGTGTCTCATATTGAACTGTGTTCTCAGTTCCAGTTTAAACCAGGATTGATACTAAGCTCAGGGGAATGTCTCAGCACCCGAATATTGGTTTTGTGTCTTAGGCAGTGCTAGCCCTCATTTTATGGAGTACTCAAGGAAAAGATTGGTAACCTGGGCAATATATGTTTCCATCAGGTGGTCCATGTGGAGGAAGAGCAGTTACTATGTAGCATGCGGAGTCATCCGCTCTTATAGCAAGATGACTTACCAGGACTTTATAAAGTCCTGTTGGCTGCTGTAACTGCTTCCTGTGCCTTTGTTATCAAAAAAGGAACCTTATCCTTTGGGCTACAGTGGAAAATACACTTGGCACCACTGTGGTACAACAAAGGAGTTAGCTCAGCTATTTCTGTGGGGGAGGCCCTTCCTCCTGATGATACTAATTTGAGGTTTTCTAGAGAAAGATATTTATAAATATAAGCAGGAGAATTTCTCTCCCACAAAAAGTATATTCACAAACAAGAAGTAAAGAAAGTAAGAAAGAAAGAGGAGGGAGGGAAGAAGGAAAAGACAGAGGGAGGGAGGGAGGAATGAGGAAGGAAAGAAGGAAAGAAACTGGAATCGGGGGGAACAAGAAATGGAAGCAGAAGTCCACAATTTGAAAACAATTAGAAATCTAAAACATATTAAAAGAATTTTATAGGTCAAAAATACTAAAAGATATGTGGATTGGTTTTGGGCCTTTAGAACATAGGCCATTCAGAACATAGGTTCTGAATCCACATTCACATCTACTGAAACACACCGCTTGACAAACTTTCATGGCCTTAGTCTATGCTGAAACTCAAATTGTGCTTAACACCTACTGATCCTGCTTAATTTATACATGGAACCCCTATAATCTTGAGGAAGCTCTGAGCGCAAAATAAAAAACAAACAGATTGGCTTCATTTTATTTATGAGAACTATTGAATTGCCTAAGTCTCCCATGATCCTCCCACCCCCTATAGTAAGCATGAGCGAATTTGCAATAAGTTAAAATTAAATTAAGTCCTTGGTGCCTACAAATTATCTTGACAGAGTTGGACCCCATGAACTCTCCTCAACTCAGTTAAGACAGTTAATATGCCCCAATGTAAATTACAGTAAGATCTTCAAGATCCCATTATACAGGATCTACTTAGAGAAGGGGTAGTTACACCCACCTTTTCTCTATATGACAACACAAGTTGACCTAGTTTAAAACTTGGGAAAGAAAGGATGGTGCTACACAGTAATTGCCACAATCTTACTGTCATGGTCACATCTACTAAGGCCTCATGCCCAATATTACAGAAATTACTGACTGATGTAATCCACACCAGGCAAATACTTTCCTCTTATGGATTTGGCTATTATTATTCCACTCAGTGTGCACTCCAACAGCCTTTACCTCTAAAGGGGCACAAAGTGACTTTCCCAGCTATCCAGGGAGCATGTCTTCAGCCCTGCACTCTTTGCAAGCAAGACTTTAGATGCACTTGACTTTCTCCAGAAGCACAGATATGATTTGTGTGGATGAACCTTTTGCCAAGGCAACTCATTTTATACATATCCTCAGACTATACAAATCCTTAGAAAAAAAGCTCCCAAAAGACAGCATGCCTTTGTTCTACACATAGTGTGAGGTCCTGCTACCTCAGTTAAGTTCCTGAAATTCCTTAGTACAGCGAGGGCTGCTCCATCCCTGGCACTGTAAGAAACACCTATTAACCTCAGCACCCAAAGTTTTAGAAGAGGCCCAACATATTTTAGGCCTTTTGGGGTTCAGAAGGCAACATTTTTCATCTCCTATTGTTACTTAAGCCTGTCTATGCTTTCCTTGCAAATCAGGCAAAGGTTCTAAAATCCACCCAAGGTATAATACAGTGCCCTGCAGAGACTCCTTCACTACACAGGCTTTGTAACCTCTTCTAGTGCCTCTGGTAGCCTTCAGTCCACCCCTGATAGCCACTTTCCCTTCAAGGTCCTCTCTCCTCCCCTTCATTCCTTATGAATCATCAAAAGGAACCCATGACATCTGAATAGGTACACTCTCATGGGATCTCTAGACTGATTGTAGAGCTGGAAAAACCAATTCTGCACCACGGCTTATATTATAAAAGTATTTTATTGAACACACTCTGGAGGAAGTCAGAACCAGGACAAAATTGGGGTGGGTGAGGCAGTGGGATTCTATTTCGATGGCTTACATTTTGGAAGACTTTGGATTCTTGTGCTTTCAAGGACCATGCTGTAAGGACCTAAAGACTGATTTGTAACAGAATGTAGAATTGTGATATGAAAGAGAAGAGACTGGGAATTGGGCCCTCCTGGGAACCAGAGAATGTGGCTCTGCAGTAGGCTTGGTCTAGACTACTCTCCAGAAAAGAGAAAATTTAACCGGGGCAACTACCTGAAAGAGGCAGTCTCCAGTGCTGGGGAACTGCCCTTGGAGGGCAGGGACTTGCAGCAGGCTCTTCTTAGTTCTTAAAGCTCCTCCGAGAGGAGGAAGTGGTGGAGACAAATTTGACGCTGGAGCTGCTGCCCCCACCACTGCCCAAGCCCACCCCCATTCCTCTGCCACTGCTTGCACTAAAGCCAGAACCCCCTGCACTGAGCCCACTGCCTAGACCGACGCCCCCACTGCTACTGGAGTAGTAGCTTCCACCACCACCTCCACCAAGACCACTGCCAAGGCCGCCTCCAAAGCCGCCGCCAAAGCCACTGCCAAAACCGCTGTAGCCACCACCGCCGGAGGAGAGGCTGTTTGTGACAACAGCTGTAGGGAAAGGAGAAATGGGTGAGACTCGTCTGTCAGATTGATCTTACATGGCTAACTTGTTTGATTTTGCTAGTGGCGGAGCATGACACCCAGCCCCTTTTACAAGTAGCCGTAGAAGCTGGAAGAATTAAGTCATTTAGTTAGGGTCCCTGATAGGAAGCTGGTAGACACAGATGTAAGACATGGGAACAGTTATGCAGGAGGTAGGGACAAGGGGACAGGGCTCAACATGTATCTGATACACAGCCCTACCCTTTAAGAGATAAGATACGTGAGCTACATTGCTTCAGGTGTTCATCTGTATTCTGTCCCCTCCACCACTCGCTTCTCATGACATGTGTTAAGTAACCACATATTAGGAAGGGGGATGTCTGGTATCTAGAAACAGCAAGATTTTGAGTTGGCATCAAGTATCATTATTAGGAATGTCTATTTAAAGTTACTTACAGATGTTGACTGGTCCAACTCCTTCTCCACTCAGTCTGAAAGAAAAAGTTGAAATGATAGTTAAAAATTCCCCCAAAGATAGCACTAGTCTATGTGGATAGTCATGATTAGAGCTCATTCCAAAAGCAGAAATGCCCCAAAAATCTACTTAAGTTAGAAGAACAGAGTGCTCTCTGGAGGGACCTTCCAATGAAGAGGGTTGACAAGAGAAATCCTAATTCACATTTTTCTTCACCCATTTTACAGAAAGCATGAGAAAGCGGTAGTGGGAAACAGGAACATGTGTAACGCAGTTCTGCCTTGCAAGAGCTTGCATTCTGTAAGAGTACTTGGCACAGACAGAAATTCCTCAAACAGAGAGTAGGCAATGGGCAGGGTCAGAAGACTGAAGAAAACGGAGTAGTTTGAGGACCCAAAAGCAGGTGAGTTTAACTCATGAAAGGCTTCTGTAAGGAAGAGATACTTGGAGAATAGGAGGGCTAGGGGGAAGATGGGTATGAATGGACACTGAGGTCTAGAAAAGAACAGAGCAAAGGCAGAAAGGGGACAAAGTTCAAGACACATTTGTTGAATTGCTCAGTTATTTGGAGGAGAGGCAATGCCCAAGAATGTTGGTGTGCAGAATAAGCCAGAAAAGCAAGTTGGGGCTGGTAGTATATTCATGTGTCAGACTGAAGGATAGATGATGTGTGATTATCACATACAAGACAACAGTCTTGTATTTGTGTTTTAGGCCCTGAAGTGGAGGAACTCTCTTTATCAGAAGAGAGGTCACCCTGGGCCCATGACGTCAGCTCACCTGCACTCCTCGCCCTCCAGCAGCTTGCGGTAGGTGGCGATCTCCACATCCAGGGACAGCTTGACGTTCATCAGCTCCTGGTAATCACGCATCAGCCGGGCCATGTCCTGCTTGGCCTTTTGCAGGGCATCTTCCAGCTCTGCCAGTTTGTTTCTGGCATCCTTGAGCGCCAGTTCCCCGCGCTGCTCAGCATCAGCAATGGCGTTCTGCAGGTTGGCGCACTACAGGGGGAAAGGAAGGAAGAGCAGGGAGGGACACTTCAGTAGTTGGGCCTGACATGTCAGTTTTTGAGATCCTAGGTTGGGTAGACCAAACTGTCTGGAGTTCCAGGGAGAGCCCAGGGCATCTGCTCTAGTCACCATGGGTGGTGGAACATTGCAATATAGGCACTTTTTCCAGCTCTGTGTGTGTGTGTCTGTGTGTATGTACAGCAAAAGCAAATCAAAATAAGTCTCCCATTCAGAGCTCAGCCCCCTGTCCCCTTTCACCCTCACCCTACCTGCTTCTTGACATTGTCAATCTCAGCTCTCAGCCTCTGTATCATCCGGTTCATCTCAGAGATCTCATGCTTGGTGTTGCGAAGATCATCGCCATGCCGGCCAGCTGTCTGCTGCAGCTCTTCATACTAATGCCACCAGAAAAGAAGAAAGATCCCATTTACAAGAGGACAGAAAACACCTTCCCCAAGTTTATGGGCAAGATCAGCCAAAAGGTGGCAAGTGGTATAGTGATTCAGAGTCTGGAGCTGACTCAGGCCCTTTCCAGTTGTTGGAGTTGTATGGAAAATAACTGGCTGTTCCCTAAATCATCCCATGGGGCCTCAGCAGGCCTTTGGAACTCCATCCTTAGCATCGACATGACCTAGAATCCTAAACACTCAGGAGACATTCGTCAGAGCACCCACCTTGGTCTGGTACCAGGTCTCAGCTTCAGTCCGGCTGCGATTGGCAATGTCTTCATACTGGGCCTTGACCTCAGCGATGATGCTGTCCAGGTCCAGGCTGCGGTTGTTGTCCATGGAGAGAACCACAGATGTGTCCGAGATGTGTGTCTGCATCTGGGATAGCTCCTGCCAGGACACTTGAAGTCAGTCATGTAATTCCGTGCTATTTAGAGTCTGTTCCATTCAAATTTCCACTCATTGTTAGGGATCAACTTGAGAAAAAAAATAATAGCCACCCACGTGAAAAATTTAAGTAAGTCTCTCACCGCATCGTAGAACATCTTCAGGAAGTTGATCTCATCCAACAGGGCATCGACCTTGGCCTCCAGCTCCACTTTGTTCATGTAGGCGGCATCTACATCCTGAAGAAACAGGGGTGGTTGCACCAAATAATGTTCACTTAACCTAAATGGCTCCACCCCCATGAGAACATAGCCCCAGGATACAGGTAACCTCCAACACACTCACCTTCTTTAGCATCACAAACTCATTCTCCGCAGTGGTACGCTTGTTGATTTCATCTTCATACCTGGTAATCAAAGAGAAAGGAAGGATTCAGCAGAGGATAAGGGACAGGTGAGGGGTCTTTATTGCACAAAGTCACTTTAAGCCTCATGGGAAGGGGCTTCTCATAGGCATGGGGGGGTTGGAGGGCACTGGTAGTGAACCCTGGGCAAGGACCTTACCCATTAGGATGCTACTTTCTCTATAACTGTCTATCAGATAATCATTTTATTATCACTACCATTCAGTTGCTTCAAGAATATTCCTATAGAAAAGCTATGCCTTTTCTCCCCAGCTCCATATCTAGTCAATTTCTCTGGTGCTTTTATCAACTTCTAGAGCCTTAAAAAAAGAAAGAAAGAAAGAAAACCAAACACAACCAGCCCACTAACTGGTTCACATGACAAAAGTTCTTGGATCCACCAAGCTGGGTTTTGTCATCAGTTCCTTCATTGAGGGGGAACTACCAAGGCTCATGCTGTGTGTTTTGAGTGCAGACAGCATAGTTCACCAGGGGGTGCCAGGGTGGTGCCAGCACTGCTGTGGTTTTAGGCTAAGTACTTGCAGAGGGGCTGAGCTTAGGACTGGAACTTCTTAAACATGGGCCTGGATTTTTATTTTTAAATGTTTTACTATTGTACATATCTACAGAAGTTACATGCTAGCCCATGAGGAAGGCATAGGCAGAAAAGTCTTGTTGTGGAGTTTATCTGATACAAAGAAGACATCAATGTGCTTGTCACCACCTCCACCCACCCCAACTCACTTGTTCTTGAAGTCCTCCACCAGATCTTGCATGTTCCTCAGCTCTGAATCCAGGCGTCCCCTCTCCCCGAGGACCCCATCCAGCTGCCTCCTGAGGTTGTTGATGTACTGCTCAAACAAAGGCTCCAGGCTCTGCCTCACAGTTTTGGTGCCCTGCTCCTGGAGTAGGGTCCACTTGGTGTCCAGGACCTTGTTCTGCTGCTCTAGGAACCGCACCTGCAGGGAGTGCAGTGTGAGGAGACAGTCGGATTTTGTGTGCCTCCCATTGCAATCTATCTCTCTAAACCCATCCCCTGTGCAGTCCTCCTGGGCCCACGAGAGGAGGTTCAGACTGAAGTCCTTAATCCCCCTCTTCAGTGCCCACATACAGGGGGCACAGCCAGCACCAGGAACAACTGGCTGGAGCAATATCCAGTCCTGTGTAGCTGCAAAGGCTCTCAGGCTGTCAGCTGGTGAGCACACCTGCCCTCCTGTACAATCCACCGTTACACAAGGCACTGAGCTCAGCACTGTCCAACCATAGTTAGGAGCCCTGATGCAGCAGCTTCAAGGTGGGAAGGAATCAGACTTCCTCCAGGCTGCTAATCTAACTAAGAAAGAGGGTCACAAAACCAGAACACAGAAACAACTGCAAACAACCAGAAACTGTGAAGTGATCTGCACAAAGCCTAGAAAATCTTCCTCTTCCCTCCTCTCTTTGGTCTTTATTCTTAACTCCCAGGGTGTCTTACCAAAGGTCACAGCTCACCTTGTCAATGAAGGAGGCGAACTTGTTGTTGAGGGTTTTGATCTGCTCCCGCTCCTCTGTCCTCACCCGCTGGATGGTGGGGTCGATTTGCAGGTTCAGAGGAGTCAGGAGGTTCTGGTTGATGGTGACTTCTTGGATGCCTCCAGGGGGGCACACGGGGAAGCCAGCGCCCCCGTAGCCACCACCAAAGCCAGCTCCTCCACCAAGCCCAAAGCTACCACCAGCTCCGCCGCCAAAACCAAATCCGCTGCTGGCTCCACCTCCAAAACCATAGCCTCCACCAGTACCAGCACCAGCACCGAAGCGGCTCCTGAAACTGCCACCGCCAGTGCTGAAGGAGATCCTCTTGGAGCCGCCCCCCAGATTGTAGAGGCTCCGGCTGCCATAGCCGCCCACTCCACAAGCACCCCCAAGGCTGATCCTACCACCACCGCCACCCCCGGAGCGGGACACAGAGCTAAAACTGGTGCGAGAGACAGATGGGGTGATGGCAGAGGCGGCACTGAAGGAACGGCTGCCCCCACTCCTGAAGGACACACTCGACTGGCGAGACATGATGGCTTGTTCCTGGTGGAGCAAGAGTACTGGGCGACTGGTGGGTTGGGAAGTGCTGGAGACAACGGAGCTCAGCAGGACGCAGTGGGTGGCTCTGTTACCCAGGTGCTGCAATGCCCTCTTTTATCCCCTCAGAACTGGGTTGGGCGGGAGAGTTGTCGAGCTGTGAATGATTAGTGGGCTGGGCATGCCTGGGGGGCAGTTGTGAGCTCACCCGTCACACCTGCACAGTGGTGCGGGGTGCAAACGCTCTTCCTGGCAGGCTCTCTCAGTTAGAAATAAACTTGCCTTGCAGCACTGATCTCTTGGTAGCAATTGGTGACACTGCCAGCTAGCCTCTCTTCACCATGGGGCCTGGAGGCTGTGAGCAGCCAAGACAGATGTCAGAAAGTAGGGGGCATTTGCTCATGGCCACTGTCCTAGGAATCCTTATAGGGACACTGGCCACCATCCAAGCCTGGTCCGTGCTGCCCTGCCAGTACAGAGGATGATGTCCATCAGCGGGGGCAAAGTGGGTCCCCTGCCTGGAAGCTAGCTGCCTTTTCTACACTCAGGAGGAGGTTGCTGCAGGAACTTCAGCTCTTGGAAAGGCATGAGCCCTTAGAGGCTGGGTATGTGCCAGAGAGAGAAGTGGTCTCCAGTTCTTTTCTACAGAGTTTCTTTCTTATGGAGAGGTCCAGTTATCCCAGAACCCACTGGGCAGATTTACCTGCAAGATTCAGGCCAGAAAAGCTCCCACAAGTTCCAGACACAGAGAATGTGGGAACCCTTACTGCAGTTGCATGCTACTCTAGCCTCTCTACAGCCAGGCTGAGCTCAGCATTTTGTGTGCTTTTGACCTTTTTCCCTCGCTCTTTGGCCTGAGCAGGATCCTGTGGGGGCTTATCAAATGAGAGATCCCATGCCATCCCTTACAGAAAGTTTTGACACACAGTTGGTAGTCACATCTTTCCTTAGGGGGAGCTGTTCTGCTGGCTCCCCCAGCCCCCATAGGTGTGTTCCAGCAAAGCTCTCAGTTATTCCACCAGGGGAGAAATGAGTCATCGTATCTGTTGATACAGGCTGAAGGCTGCCACAAACACATACCTGCAGGAGCTTCTAATCTCATCAGGAACATGTTGAGAATCAGCCGGCCTGTTATAACGGCGAACCAGCCTGTTCCAAAGCAGCGGGAATGGCTAGGCTTCCTCTACACTCCAGCCCAAAGCTTCCTTCAGGGCCAAGGCGATGGAAAAGGGAACTAAGTCTGTGGATCTACTGCCAGAGAGGCTAGACAGAGCAGGTCCGGGGGACCAGGCAGCTGGCAAAACAGTCCATCATTCCTCTGCAAAACTTGTCTGCGTTCCCTGTGGCACCAAGTGGAAGAAAGGGGATTCTGGTTAATTTTAGCAAGTGTCTGTCCTAAAATATGCCCTCTCTTTCTGGCTGCAGACTTGAGTAGCGTCACCTCTTTGCCTACTAAGAGCTTGGACCCTTTCTGGCTGGAGCGAGAGGCGGAGGTGCAGTGGGAAAGTGTTCAAAGTCACAGGGCTGAGGGACCAGGCTCTCAAGAGGACAGGAATCAGGAGCAGCCCAGGCTCAGAAACCTCTGCTCAGAGCCTGCGGTTGGCTACAAGGAAGCCAAGGCTGTGGGAAATGACGCCCCAGTGCTGGGGATCTGCTGAGACAGTGATTGCTCACTAGAGGCTGTGGTGAGAAAACAGCCAACAGAGAAATCTCGTAGACATACAGTGGTCAGAGCTGGCCTTACAGGTCTTGAGCAATGAGGCTTGGCTGCTTCCCTGCCTGGGGAGTGTCTCAGACCCCTGAGTTGACCAGTTTCACCTTCTGTTGCCTTTGGAAGGCCAGGTGTGAGCGTCTGAAACATAGTAGAGGGCTCTCAGCCCTGACAGAACAAGCCCAAGATTGAAGCAAGTATCTGGGGTCCCCTAGCAGAAGTCTTCCCCCACTCACTGGAAGATAGCATCAGGGTATGTCCTGCCACACACAGAGACAGGTCCTAGGTACAGTCCCCACTGCCCTTGGGGAAGCTCCACCCTCCTGAGACACTGGGACATTCTCTTCTCCCCATTCATCCTCCTCCAGCTGTGTTGTGAAGAAGGAGGGCTTGGCAGGACAGGAATGCATTCTGGCCAGTCTGAGAACCGCTACAGTGTGCCAAGCTCACATCTAGGTGCCAGGGACCAGTGGTGTGTGGGTGTCAGGTGCCTGTCACTGAGACTTTTGAGCACCTCACTAGGGAGAAGCAGCACTCTGTCCGAGTTCTGTGGGAACCTCCTCCAGTAGGCAGGGAAGCCCCACCCACCATGCCAGATTTGAGCAGGTGTAAAGATGGAGAAGCCCCGATGGAGAGTCAGGCACCAGGTTACATGGGAATCCTACCTCAGGCCAGCATCCCTCTGTGGCAGCAAGAGAGAGGTGGATCAAGACTCCAAGCTCTTCTGCTGGACATTCCCAGAGGAAGTTACCAAGACTTGGCCAGACACACCGGCTGTTTAGCTTCTCTTGGCACTGTTTTTCTTATCAACAGAACAGGTACAGGCACTGAGGGACCTAACAGTTGCCCCCTTGGTCTCTATCAGAAAAGGAGGTGATAAGATGGCTCCTCTGATGGAGGGTGGCACCATGCTGTGTGGCATCAACAGGCAGCAGATGGGGAGCAGTCTCCAACTCATGGATGAGAAGTAGGCAAACCTGCAACACCAGCCCAGGGCTCTCTCCCTGGAGTCTCCACTCCAAGTTCTGTGTCTTTGAAAGAACATTCACTTAATAGAAGATAATACAACATGGTTTTGCAAATATCCCCAAAGCCAAAGTCCCTTCATTACCCACACTCAGCCCAGCCTTGTTCACTGGGGAATCTCCATTCCTTCCCTGGGTCTCTGTAGGAGCAGTGAACTGAGTGCCAGAGAATTACTCATCAGATTTTGTCTCTGGGTCCATGTCTACAGGAAAAATCTTTTGTCCCCTTCAGACAGTGTACCCTCTGGGGACAGAGGTCATGACTCTTCATTCTTTGGATTCCCCTCTATTCTTCTCCCTTCTATCTCAGGGTCCACTAGTAGCCCCTAGGTCTTGCCCAGCCCCCAAGGTCCCCCTCCGGTAGAGAGAGAAAGCAATAGTGTCCTCATCTTTGCAGTCCTTCTGTCCATGAGTGTTCTACACAAAAAGTAAGAAGCAAATAGTTGAGGCATGAGTCACCTTATTCACTGGGCTATGGTCGGCATCCCTATCCAGATTCACAGGATGGGGAAGAACAGATGGAGCAGTGCCAGCCCCAGCAACTCTTCACAAAGCCCAGCCTCCGGGAAGAAGTGAGTGAAGAATTTTCCTGCCTCTCCCCAAAGCCACAGGAGTCCTGCCCTCCAACCCGACTCTGGGATCTAGCTTTGAGTTGGGCTGGATTCTCAGGATCACAGGGGAGGGGGATGGGCTGCTCTGTGGACCTGGGAAGCCGAATGTACCACTCCTCCTTCATGCAGTCATGTTGGCCAATGCTGCCTTATGCTGTTGGGAACACTGCCAGCCTCTCTAGGACTTTCAGACCCCAAGTCTGAAAACAGGCCTGGGTAGAACTGCAACTGTCCAGGAGTAAAGTAGTCACTCAGCCTTGGCTCAGGTGGGCTTTTCAGGCAGCTTACATCTGCCATTATTGGGGCATGGTGACAGAAAACCCCTTAGAGTTGAGTTTTCTTGCGCAAGTACCACACACAAATTGTGGGTTCAGATACAAAAACTTGTGGCCCCACTCTGGGCCATGACTTTGTCCTAATCCAGCCCTTGAAATGTTCTGGAACCCTGGAAATATTGCCCAATCTCTGACTGCAGTTTCCCCCATGACCCACAATACAGAAGGAAAGGAGCCTGGAGAGGGCCATGCAAGCTGGAATTTTAATGCTGAGCTGACTGGCCGAGCAGGAAGGGTGGAGCAAACATGTAGTGTCTATGGGAAGCAGGCCTGGCCCCATCCCTCAGATTCAGCAGGCGATTGGCACTTGAGGGGTGAGAGCTGCAGAACAGAGCTCATAGCTTCTCTCCAACAGGCCCCTGCAGGTCTGGGGAATGTTCTTTCTTCGCTGGAAGGGTGTTTTGCCAATGGTATACAAGTCTTTGAAAATCTCCTTTGGTTGATTGAAACTGTGGACTGGAAATAACAAATACTTTAATTAGTCAGAGGAACTAAAATAAGATATACCCATATTGCAAAAACCTCTGGGCTTTGCTTTCCCATAGAGGGAACTTTTCCTTTTTAGAAAAACGCTTATGTAGGAAATGCCAAGTGGCAGGCATTGTCCTGCAAACAGCTGCACATCTAGAATTGTGAACAGGCCAAGAAGGGCTTTTACCATTTTCTTCGCATTTGCTCTGGTCTTCATGTACGGACATGAGCGTGCCTGGGCGTCTGGGCCACCTGCCTTCACACCAGGCTGTCTCTATGGGGTCAAAGGCATGAAACAAAGCCTCTTCACATTCTTAACCCGCCCCACGTTCTTTTCTCCTTGGTCTTTCCTCTTTCTTCCATAGAAGCACAGTAGGAACAGGAGAACAGAGGGAGGGAGCTATCTTCTCTCCAGCTTCTGCCCGACCTGTAGTTTTCTTGTCTTGAGAGAGCAGGTTCAGGGGACAGTCTTGTTTCTATATGGCTTTCCCTTTGACTTTGGATGAGCTCTGGTCACATGGGCTGAGTCAGTATAAAGGTGGTAATTCCCTAGTGAATGAAAGAAAGCAGACAAAAGTGCTGAGGCTGGAAATGCTACCTTCCCCAAGGCTGTCCTCAGGAAACACAGGAGAGTTTGGACAGTACTCAAGGTAGGGCTGTCCCCAGCTCCATCTTCTGCACACTCAGCTTCTGTCTCTACAATCTGCATATTGCTCTGTGTCCACTTGGACCAGTCATCCCTGTCTTGGGGGCTTAAGGTTTTCCAAAGGGAGACACAATGTCCAAAGAAACTGAGAAAAGAGAGCAGGCAGAAAGACTTGTACCAACCATTGAATCCTGTCTTCCTTCAACACATGTGAGCAATTGTGGAGTGTTGTGTAACAGGCACTTCTAGACTTGGGTTGTATGTCTCCTGTGTCATTCCTCATATCTTTCCTCAGGTGCCTGTGGTGATGATTAATCTTTATTGTCAACTTGATTAGAAGACTCATAGATAATTGGTAAAGCACACTTCTGGGTGTGTCTGCAAGGGTGTTTCCAGAGAAGATTGGCGTGTAGGGAAGATTGGATTGTGGAGAAGACCTACTGATTGTGGGAGGTACCTTCCAATAAGCTGGGCCTGGATGAAATTAAAAAGTGGAAGAGGGGAAAACTCAGGCTCTTTGTGCTCTTGACCCTCCTTGAGTGAGTGTGCTTTGTGCTGCTGGTGGACATCAGACT